TGTATCCGCGGGTCAGAGTGAAGACGCCGGAGTGTGTACAACCCCCTCGCCGAAGCCCTGGTCAAGGCCTCTTTCCAACGTCGTTTGTCGTGAGTGCCACAATTCCTCTCGATGCAGGCCTCGTTTCCGAGTCGTCCGGCGCTCATGTGAAAACATGTGTCACTAGTGCTGGTGCTACTCATGTTACTCATGCAAAGTTGGATTCTTTCAATTCTTCCATCACATTTTCCCTCCCATCTTCATGTGCCGTCCTGTACCGATGTTGTCATACCCGCTTGAGGAGCCCGTATCGGAATTGTGCATCCACGTGCCCCTGTTCTCGTCTGCGTGTGCTCAAGCCAATCTCACCTGGTGAAGAGAACAGTGCAACTTACGTAATTTGATGCAAGTTTCTCCCTCTTTACCCTAACACCCACATCGGCAAACACACATCCACATCAACACCCACACCAACACTTCACGTTGACTACCCAGTGCTGAGATGGTCCTCTCCAAGACGAGTGCAAAGAAGTGAGCAGTGCAGAGACTGTGGATAGCAAACGCACCGACAGCCTTGAACAAGGTGAACAAAAGGTACGAAAGATCGGCATAGATACTAAAGACACAAGACCAGCCGGCACCGAAGACAAGTTAACAACCCGATCCGTACACTCGCACAGATGAACACCAAATAACCGCATACAATCACACACACACACACAAACACGGATAGACACAGAGACATTCACATTCGCTAACTAAGACAGACATGCAGGTATAAAGAGACACACGCGCACACAAAAGAGCTACACGGTCTAGAGTCTCTCGGTGAGCAGACTGTCAAACAGTGCTGGCCAATTCTGTGTTGGTGACGCTCTGTCGAGGCACTGGCGATATCACAAATGGAAGCTACTCCATGCCGTCTGTAGGTTCGTACAAAGAAGTCGATCGACAAAGGTGGGACTTGTACGTAAGAATCTGCACTCAACTTGCCTGCTTTGCACGCATCAACTCGAATGGATAACGCTCTAGCCGCGCTGTCGAATCCCCAACGTTGCTGGCTACTTGTCAGTCGCGTCAAAGTGTTGCTCCCTTCCACCCATTCAACACGCGACACGCCATTCTGCGTGTAAAACATCGCCTGCTCGGCAATATCCTCTTTCCTGCTCTGTGACCTAGCGACAGCTATACCAACTGTGGTGTTGTGCCTTGTTGTGCTGTGCTCCACTTTACTGTGCTACACCCGCTCGCGTCATCAAGGCTAGCAACATCCGCCCGCTGCTGATTAGAGTCTCCGGTAGAAGGAGGCCGTGGTCCGAGATCCAGTCCTTCGGATCACAGAGTGCATGCAGTCCGAAGCCTACATTTGGGTAAGCCCCAGGATGGAGATAATGTTTACATGTCTAGGGCACCTTTTAAATTATAATGAGATGTATTCACCCTATTTTGTCTAAGGTGATGAAGGACTGGTAGTAGAATTTTCCCACAATG